GCTGCTTACAGGCTTGCTCCCCTGGCCCCTGCTCAGCCTGCTTTCTTATGCAACACAGGCCCACCTGCCCAAGGGTGGCACCACCCACAGTGGGCTGGGCCCGCCCACATCACTCATCAAGAAGATGCCCTTCAGACATGGCCACAGGCCAGTCCAATAGAGCTATCCAGCACAGGCCATTCAAATAATGTTCATATAGTTCACGTCCTAAACATAAGAGAATGTGAAGTAACATATCCAGAAAGAAAGTACCTCGATTGTGGGGTTTTTTTTCTGTTTGTTTTGTGTGTGTGTGTGTGTGTGTGTTGTTTTGTTTTAAAAGGCATGCCCTTAACTGAGGAGATGCTGTCCTTTTAAATGAGCAAAGGATCCTTCAAGATCTTGACCAGTGAAATTATTCAAAGAAATCTGGTCTATGTCAGGAACAAGAGTTCTGAATACACACATCTTCAGTCAATGTTGTGAAAGTACACCTATATGTTCCAGATAATTCAAACTGGAGCAGACTAGTTCTCAAATGCCTTCTAAGTTCTAATGCATAATACACATAATTTGCTTTCTTTGCCTGAACTGTACACACACATACTCTGAGAGAGTATTATTTGTAGGGCTTCAGCTACTAAAGAATGTAAGTGGGTAGGAAGCTGGGAGAGTTTATGCAGTCTGTTTCTAAAGAAACAAAATCACCCTAAAAATGTGTGCTCTGGCTGTAGTATTTTATTTGCATGGATCCCTCCTGTTAACAAAGTTCTTTTACCACCTCATTTAATTCTCATTACCTACAATACACTATATTTTCTCTTTTATAATCAAGAAACTATGCCCCAGCACTCAGGGGGTGGAGGCAGGAAGATAGTGGGTTCCAGTCAGCTTGGGCTGAAGACTGAGATCCAGGGTGGGAATGGGCAGAGCTACCATTTAGATAAATGAATTAATTTGTCTGAACTCATGTATTTAGAATATAAAAAGCCAATGAAGTGTTTTCTATGACATGTTCCCTGTTCTTCTCTACAGGGACAATGCCTGGAGGGTTTAAATATTTTAAAAGTTAGTTCCCAATCAGTGGATAAAAATGGCTCCAATGCTTATCCTCACGACATCCGTCCCTTATTTAAAGCCATCACAGATGGCAGCCACCTTGTTGTCTAAGGAATGATGTAAGTTTTCCTAAGCTGAACAAAATCCCCCCATGAAGTCACTTGGGAACATGACAAGATAGCCAAGGAACTGCACACAGAGAAGTCCATACATAACCCACTAATTCATTGTAGCAGCCCAACCTTAAAACTGCCACAGAACTTGCTAAATTTGGGTCCTTCAAAATATTTTATTGTGCAATAGTGCTACATCTCTGCTTGGATTGACTTTAATCAACCTCTTCGTTGGTGGGCCCTGAAGAAGCACCACCAGAGGGAGGTGCTCCACTACCAGGGAAGCCCCCAGGCATTCCTCCTCGCGGGGAGGGGCAGGGCGGGAACAGACGACACCAGCACTCTGGTACAGCTTGGCGATGCTGGGGTTGCAGACTTTCTCCAGCTCTTTCCGCTGGTGCTCAAATTCTTCCTTCTCAGCAGTCTGATTCTTATCCAGACAACTGATGAGTTCATTACACTTGTCCAGGATCTTCTGTTTATCCTCATCACTGATCTTGCCTTGAAGTTTCTCATCTTCGAGGGTCACTTTCATGTTGAATGCATAGGACTCCAGTGAGTTCTTGAAGGATACTTTGTCTCTCTGCTTCTCATCTTCAGCTTTGTACATCTCAGCTTCCTGGACCATGGCTCAGTGTCCTCTGTGCTCAAGCAGCCTTTGTCGTTAAGTGATGTCATCTTGTTTTCTTTTCCTGTACTCTTATCTGCAGCAGACACATTGAGGATACCATGGCATCAATATCGAAGGTGACTTCAATCTGTGGAACACCTCAGGGTACAGGAGGTATGCCTGTGAGTTCAAACTTCCCAAGCAGGTTGTTACCCTTGGTCATGGCTCTCTCACATTCATATACCTGAATGAGCACACCAGGCTGGGTGTCAGAGTGGGTAGTGATGGTCTGTCTGCTTGGTAGGAATGGTAGTATTGTGCTTAATGACACAGTCACGACTCCACCGGCTGTTTCAATACCAAGGGAAAGAGGAGAGACATCCACGAGCAGCGACTATTGAACATTTTCAGACTTGTCTCCAGACAGACTGGCGGCCTGGACAGCTGCACCATAAGCAACAGCTTCATTGGGGTTAATGCTCCTATTCAGTTCTTTTCCGTGGAAGAAGTCTTGCAGAAGCTTCTGAATCCTGGGGATACAGGTGGAACCACCTGCCAGAAAAATACATTGGACCCATGACTTATCTAGTTTGGCGTCTTGAAGGCCTTTTTCTACAGGGTCCAGAGTGCCATGGAACAGTCAGCATTCAGCTCTTCAAATCGAGCCCGGGTAACAGAGGTGTAGAAGTCGATTTCCTTGTAGAGAGAATTAATCTCAATACGGGCCTGGGTGCTGGAGGAGAGGGTGCGCTTAGCCGGCTCACAACCGGTGCAGAGACGGCGGACAGCTCTCTTGCTTTCACTGATGTCCTTCTTGTGCTTGCGCTTAAACTTGACAGTGAAGTGGTTGACCATCTAGTTATCAAAGTCTCCTCCACCCAAGTAGGCGCCTCCAGCTGCAGATTTGACCTCAAAACTCCATCCTCAATAGTGAGGATTGACACATCGAAGTGCCACCTCCCAAATAAAACAATCAGCACATTTCTCTCTGCTCCAACCTTCTTGTCTAAGCCGTGAGCAACAGCAGCAGCAGTTGGTTCATCGATAAGTCTAAGTACATGGAGGCCAGCGATGGTTCCAACATCTTTGGTTGCATTGCCCCTTGACCACAGTGTTGGTAACAGTCCTGCCAAGGTAGACTTCTGCAATGTCCTGCATCTTTCTTAGAACCACAGAGGACCGCTCTTCTGGACAGAAGCTTTTGGTCTCTCCTTTGCATCCCACTTGGATCCTGGACCTGCCTACATTGTTCACCACCATGGAGGGCCGGTGCGTCACATCAGACTGAACAACAGCATCATCAAACCTGTGCCCGATGAGATGTTTGGCATCAAACACTGTGTTTGTGAGGTTCACAGCAACCTGATTCTTTGTGGCATCACTGATCAATCGTTTTGTGTCAGTAGAAGCAACATAGCTCAGTGTGGTTCAGTTCCCCTGGTCATTCGCAATGATTTCCACTTTCCCATGCTGTAAGAGACCCATGCATGAGTAAGTGATGCCAAGATCAATGCCAACTGCCAGGCCTACACTCTACTGGAGTGATGACCACAGAAGATCCTGCCGCCACGTTCATTGAGTCGTTTGCACATTTTTAATCAGATCGTTTATCCTCTTTATTGAGCTGAGACTATTTCTTTACATGTTGTGGGAGATAAATTGGCTTTAGGATTTGCAAATGTTTTCTCCCAGATTCTAGTGCATACAGTAGGTCTGCACCAGGGAATGATCTGCTTTGGGGCATGCTGCTCTAGGGGGTCAAGCTTTTACCTGTCTCTGTTCCGATTTATGTTAAATAAAACACAGCATGACTCTGAGGTAGCATGAGAGACATTCTCTGAACGTACTTGATAAATTAAAACCTCCGGCAACACCAACCCAAGATGAAATGTTTACTCTTCAGGTAGCATGCTGAGTTGATTTTATTATTTTCTCTTCGTCCTGAGGAGGTGTTTCAAAAGCTAAGCCTGGGAGTTTGTTCATAGTGCTGCCTGCATTTGACGGATATTAGTCAGTCTATTTCCGTCATCACAACCTAGCCATCTCTCTGGACTCTTCACAGCCTGGGAGAGCTCTTATTGTTTCTTTTAACTTCTCTTTTAAGTTCTCCTGGCCAACTAACATCTTACTCACTTTGGATAAGGGGGGAGAGGGGATTATAGCAAGGAACAAAATAAGGAAAACAAAGTACTGATTAGGTCATCTTAATGTTAGGAACAAGTAATAAGCAAGGAAGGATTGAAGTGGTAGGAACTGTAATTAGTTTTGAAAAGGCCACTTTTAATTCTAATTACATTTGTCAAGTCTTTTCTCTTGCTTCATACCACCCTTTATACTATTTAAGAGATTGTAGAAATGAAATTCTGTGATTGTTTCTCATATCTGTGGACTTATTTCTTACTGATAGTTTACCTGTTGTTCTAGAGGAAAAGAAACTTGAAAAAAATCAAATTTTAGCCAGAGCTATTTATCTTATTCAAAATAAAACTAGCTAAATTAGATATGCTCAGCTCAGAGATTATGCAATGATAGTTAATAACTAAGTTTAAATTCCATTATTTTGCTTGGAGACCAATTTCCTATCTTGGCTTAGAGGTACAGTCTATATCTGTATATTTGTTGAATAGTAATAGATATTACTATTATTCATCAACATCTGGCACTCCTTCTGGTACTCAGGATCATCATGGTCTACTTTCTGATGTTAGCTTTGGCTTTAAACTTACACTAGGGTCAACAAGATGGCTCAGCAGGTAAGGGAGCTTGCTGTTAATCCTGAAGACCTGAGTTTGATACCTGGAGCCCACATGGTAGAAGGAGTAAATCGACTCCTAAAATTTGTTCTCTGACCTCCACATGTGCACTGTGACACACACACACACACACACACACACACACGCATGCACGCACGTGCACACATGCGCACGCACGCGCACACACACACACACATACATGCATGCACGCACACAAAAAAAATGGGAAAAAATATAAGCCCTTACTCCGACAAAACAAAGTGCTGTTTGCCTCTTTCTTGGTGATGCACCGAGGAACCCACATGGTGCTCCACACTTTCCCCTACTGGAGGCCATGAATTACTGCTCTCCTGTTAAATGTATGTGGTTAAGAGTCAGAAACGAACCTGCACTGCTATGTTCTTTACAGTTCTGTATGTAAGCGCCTTCCTCAGCCTGCTCTCCTGTTAAATGTATGTGGTTAAGAGTCAGAAACGAACCTGCACTGTTCAATTGCTGCCATCAGGGAATGCTGGGTACTGTAGGACACATTCTACTCTGATTCATGCAGCCAAGACAGAGCTGCTGTCACATTTGGTCCTCAACAAACTAAAGTTTTCCTAAATTAATTATCAATGCAACTGATAACCTAAATTCAATTTGGTTGAAGTGTGTTGTAGACCCTGCCTTTCAGAACATGAAAAAATCCACCAAGACTACCATGCATAGACTGTAGCTTCTACTGATGGAGAAAGTGCCTTCTTCCTTTCTCCTTTTGAGCCCAATAAACATAAACTGGAGGTTCACATTGAAGAAAACAAAGTGCACATTAATGTGGAACATTATCATGGAGCAGTGCATGTTCACCATGCCTGCTAGGTACATACACTGCGTACACATTTTCCCACGTGCATGGCATGCCTGTGGGAGCTGGCTTTCATGTAGTCAATGAGCAGAACACTTCAAGCCTTCTCCATGGAAGATTAATGAGCAGATTGGGTGAAATTTAGAATTAGTGTTCCTCAGCAACGAAACTCCTGCTTAGGTTCTGAAGAGCCTCCGCATCGACATTCCTTGGTGCTATTCAAGGAGCAACAGAAGATAATCCACTTCTAATGTGTTTTCCAGGTCCGTTCTCCATGTACATAATGCCAAACTTCTCCCCGTGGCTTTCCCACAAAGACTTTAAACTGTGGCTACAGCACGAGTTTGAAGCACTCAAAAGCAGTCAACTCCACCTGCCAGATGCAACAGTACGTGTGTCAAAAAAAACATTAAAAAATAAAGCGTTCACACAAAGACACTCCTGACCAAATTTTCTATGAAATAATGATGGTGCAGCCCCAAAGAAGGCAGGCTGGGGGGGGGGGCGTGCATTCGAGGCTGAATCACTGAGTTTTCCCATTGTGCTCCATGAAAAGATGGGTCTGGAGGCAATTTAACAAGTTTAAATTACGACTTGGAAAGGAACACACTTTGGCTCCTGAGATGTACAACCAACTGGGAATAGTCTGAGAAAAAAAATAATCCTGTGTAGTCCACATTTTTTAAGCTGAATTTCAGACTTGCATGCAGCACTTGACATTCAGAAGGTAATATGTGGATTCATGGATCTTCAAGCAGCGCACAGGAACCTGAAATCACTAAAAGCATCCTGTTCACCACTGATGAAGGGCTTCACTGTATACTTTGAGAGTTCAACTTGATTCCAATGAAAGGATGTACAAATAGAGAACGCTCAGAAGTATCAGTTGTGTAAGTTTGTTTGTAACCTTTGTAACGTGGCTGAGTGAATTCCTGTATGTAATCCTAAAGGGCCACATGCCACACCCTTCATGTCTACACTTCTCTATTTCTTTGTTTTATTAGTCGGAGTGAGCTGACTTCTTCAGCTATTACCTCCACATTTTAGTGGCTTAACACAATGTACAATTTTTGCTGTTTGTCTTCCATGTGACATGGAGAGCTAAGCTTCCTCCAGCAGAAAATGAGTCAGTCAGGGCTCATCTCGACCTCGGGCACCATCCTCTTTGAGGTCACTGGAGCCCTCCTTATTTGGATGTCAGGGAAGAGAAAGAATACCAGATGACCTGCACTTTTAACAGGTCAAGTGGACCAGGAATGCACTACCTCCACCCACATTTCACTGGTTGGATGCAGAACCACAGAACGCCCACCCACCAGGAACTAGAAAATTCGATATAGCTCAGAGGTCAGAGAGAATGGGAGAGGATGTGTGACTCTTCCCACCCTGTGCTGAATAGCTTCATTTGTCAACTTGACACACCTGGGTGGAGGGACCCTCAACTGAGTCATTTTCTCCATTGGATTGGCCTGTGGCCATGTCTAGAGGGCATTTTCTTGACTGTTGATTGATGAGGGAGGGTCCAGCCCACTGTGGATGGTACCACCCCTGGGCAAGTTGACCTGTGTTATATAAGAAAGCAGGCTGAGATCAGGCCAGGGGAGCAAACCAGTTAGCAATGCACCTCCATGGTCTGTGCTCCAGGTTCCTGCCCTGAGTTCCTGCCTTGGTTTACCTTGATGATGGACTATGAGCTGTAAGCCAAATAAATCCTCTCCAAGTTGGTTGTGGTCAGTGTTTTTATCACAGCAATAGAAAGTAAATAGGACACACCCTTGACTGCTAGGATATGGTCTTTCTGTGCTATAAAACATAAAAATTCTAAATATTATTATTTATTCATACTACATTTTCTTTCCAGAAACCCCAAACAGAACAGACTCTAGGTTGCTGAAAACCAGAGGTTGCTAGTTTGTTTCTAAATAATGATATAGCCCATCAGTCACTAGCTAGAACATTCCTTCCTTGAATTAAGTTCCCTAAACTGTCAATTAAACCATCAGAAGGTGGTTTTCTGTGTTCAGGGGTCAGAGACAAAGTCAGGGCACAGCCTGTAGGTCTTTTCCTTTCCAGTAACCAGGATTTCTCAGCCTTGGCACTGTAGACATCTGCAGCCAGAACATTCCTCCTAGCAACATCCTAGGTCTTCGTGCCATCCATGCTTCCTTAGGTGTGAGGACCAAAAATGTTGAGATATTATCAGATGTCCCCTGGGGGACAAACATGCATCTCCATCCCATTGCCTGAGAGCCACCATTCTAGATCATGAAAAAGTACAAAAGATTATCATGTACATCATTTGGCTAGGAAACACCTACTTGCCAAAGACAGTGTCTATCTACAGGCCAGTTTGTCTCCATCTCTGCCTCAGTTTCCGTCTACCACCCTGACCTCTAGCTCTACCTCTTTCTACTTCTCAGACGCTGCTAGGGAAGACCCACTAACCTGTTTCTCTGTGGCTCCCTCGTCCAGCCTGCATGCATCTCCCATAGCTCTTGCTCTCAGAACAGTCTTTGTCAAGGGTGATGGTTTATTTGAAGAAGTTAGACATCACTCACAGAGAGTGAGATATGATTAGGGCCCTATCTGTGTTGTCACATCATGCAGGATATCATAGACTATTTTTAGGGGGTAAGTCATTAAACAAGCATCTAACAAAAGGAGAATGGGTTGAGAGTTTTGTATTAAAGTCCCCCCAAATTTCAAATCCTCTTCAGAGCAGAGGTGGAGGTGGAGGCAGGAAAGAAGACTTGACATTTGCAGCCTCATCCCTTAGGACTGATTCCAAGTCTAACTTAAGAACACGAATTCCCTTTAAATTTTATCAGCTATAAAATATTTCTCAGTCTTGGTCCGAGTAGTGGTACTGTCTTCCCCCCCTTTAACTAGCTGTTACATTTCAGTATGTAGGAAAAAGCTCCCTCATGTCAGCATAACTGCACTAAGTCCCAAGTGTTTCAAACTGAGAAGTGCAAAGGGGTTTATTTATGATTCTCATTCTGAAAGGGAGGTCTTTGATGAGAAAACTGTTCAAAGCCAAAAAGTCTTTTCATCTAAATAGAATGAACTTACTACAGGACTCCCATACCTGAGACACCTGAGCCTTTCAAGAAACATTGTGTAAACTCAGCAATAAGAACTGTGAGATCTTCTTAAATTTATGTTTAAGCTAAAAAGTTTTAGAAAAACTTGAAAAATGAATATGAATAACTACCACACATTGCTATTTCTCAGGCCATTTATATAACAGATCCTGAAAAAAAGGTATTTATATCCTAACTGTAACCACAAATCAACTGTGGCACAGAGGACATGAGTGGTTTTTACCCCATGATGCAGATTAGTGAACACAGAGGCAGACTTGAACCCAAATCCTGTAGACTCCAAAGACCACCAGCTTCAACTGTTTTCCCTCCTGGCTATAAATGGCTCCAGAGAAAATTCATTTACTAAAAAGTCTCTCTTGGCAACCACAGAACTTCTATTGACTGAAACAGAAATGTCACTGTGGTAATAAGAGGCTTAATTTTCACTTTATTGCCTGGCAGTTCAAATGCATCACATATTGGAATCTGGATAATAAGACTGAATCAAAGGGGGCTGGAGAGATGGCTCAGCAGTTAAGAGCACTGACAGCTCTTGCAGAGGACCTAGGTTCAAGTCCCAGAATCCACAAGGTGGCTAACAACTGTCGTCCATATTTCCAGCTCCAAGGGATCCAACACCCTCTTCTGACATCCAAAGGCATTGCACCACACAGGTGCACTTACACATATGCAGGCAATACCCGCATATGCATAAAATAAAAATAATTTTTTTAAAGATTGAATGGAATACCAGCTATTCAGTGAGCTGTTTTTCATTATTATCTTGGTGCAGTAGTTTATGAGCAAGTGTTGCTAGAAGTACATGTCTGGCAATAACTTCACTGGTCTCCCCTCCCCCGTCCCCAGTTGGTCATGGTGTCTTCCCTAAGAACGGCAGAGCAGACTAAATGGAAGGAAAGGGTTTGCTCTGAAGATCAGGACCCATGGTTACACTAACTTGTTCACATTCACTGCAGTGAAAATCTACTCTGCTTCCCAGTAGGTTCATGTAACCATGGCAACCTATCAGCACCATCATCGACAAAAATTAGAGTAAAGGAGTTCCAACTGGTTCCACCTGGAAACTGAGGAAGAAACCTTTTTCGAAGACACTTCATTTTGCTCTGTAAGTGGCCCCTGCTGCATCTCTTCAGGTGATTACCAGAATCAAGGCGGCTCCCTTTTGCCAATGGCTTACAAAACCAGTTAAAAGTAACACACCTGAGCTTTAGTTATAGCTAAACTGGAAAGCCTCAGCTCTGAGTGACTGCATGTCATAAAGGTCTCAATTGGAGTCATTGAATGGCTGCCTCACTGGAAACTCAGCCTAGCCTTTCGGTGAACACCACTCCAGTGTGAATGACCATATCTCAAAAACAAAGTGGACAGCTCTAAAGAAAAACATGTAGAGGCTGACCTCTGGCCTCCACAAGCACATGCACACCCAAGTATGCACACATACATACACACAGGGAAGACTCATTGTGTAACATAAATGAGAAAGTTAGTTAGGAAACTAGTGGGTCTGACAGGCAGTTTCATGGGTTTATTTGAAGTTGGTGACTAGGAACTTAGTGGGACGTTGTATTAGCTCTGTGTCTCATTGCTGAGACAAAAGTATTTGACAAAAGCAACCTAAGGAAGGAAGGGTCTGCTTGGTTTTCAGTCCATCATGGCTGAGAAGGCTCGGCAGGAGGAACAAAGGCAACTGGTCACCCTGCATCCATTACCAGGACGCAGAGGCCAGTTCTGCACAGCTTGCTCTCTCCTTTTTATTCAGTTAGGAACCCCGAGCCATGGGACAGGGTCGTTCACATTAACCCAGTCTGCAAACTCCCCCACAGGTATGCCAAGAGGTTTGTCTGCTTCGTGACTCTAGACCTTGTCAAGCTGACAGTATTAACCATCACAGACATCAAGCTTCCTAACCCGTATCTGTCCCACTAGACTGTCTCAATGACCCCTACATCAGCTTCTGGCATAGAGAGGAAATTCACAATGCTAGCTGAACTCAATCAGAAATGCAGTGGTAGACACAGGTGATGAATCAGTGCCATGAATCGTAAGGTACAGGATCTCACAGTTCTAGAGGCAACTGAAAATTCAAGGTGCCAGTGAGCTATGCAAGTTAAGAACCTGTCCCAAGTCTACCATCTGGTAGTTCTTCAGCTTGTGGCTATGTGTATATCTAACATAAGGCCTTTTCCAGGAGTATATGTCTATATCCAACATATGGCCTCCCCCCTGTGCTTATAGACCCAACACTCTCCCATTCTTATAAGGACATTCATCCTATTTGATTAGGGGCTCTTGCTACTCCAGTATGATCTCCCATTAGTAATTATAGCTGCCATAACCTTACATCAAAATAAGGCAACATTCAGAAGCAGTGAGAGTTGGGACTGTAACATATTAATTTTGAGAGTCACCACTCAGCTCCTAACAGAGCATAAACTTTATTTATTCTAATTTAACTTTAATATTTTCTTTATAGGAATGCTCTGCCTGCATGTATGTAAGTGTACTATGTGTTGGATCTCCTGGAACTGGAGTTATGAATAGTTGAGAGTCACCATGTGGATGCTGGGAACCCAACCCAGGTCCTCTGAGAAAGCAATCAGTGTCCTTAACTGCTGAGCCATTTCTCTAACCCCAGAGCACAGACTTTAAATAAATATTGATTATTTAATTGGGGGAAATCATATAAAGAAGAATAGCTCCTTTACACTTGATGGTTACCATTTCAGCTAGATTTAGAATAATTTATTTAATCAGCCAGGCAAAATATCCATTCTCTCAAGTCACCAAAAAATATTCATATCAGACTTGAATTTCACTAATTAATCTTACTTAGCAATTGAAAGCCTGATCTTGGGAACTGGTTTAGTTCCAAGTAAATGACAAAGTTTCATCAAACAATATTCAACTGTTAAAACAGTTTAGCCTTGGGGATGGGGTGCTGGCTTGGCTACTAAGAGCACTTACTGCTCTTGCAGAGGACTCAGGTTTGGTTTCCAGCACCCACATCAGGCAGCTCACAGCCACCTATAATTCCAGTTCCAGGGGATGTGATGCTCTCTACAGGCCCCCATGGGCACCTGCACACACATTGTACCCATAACCTCATGAAGGCACACCGACACACAGTGTTTAGTGTTTTATTCAAGGAGCAGCAAGTCTTAGTCGGGGCAGAAAGAGGTATTCGCCTGTCTCAATCATAGGCACCGGCCACTGACATTAAAGAAGCTTGCCTATGGTGCAGGAAGAACATCCTCACATCTGGGACCACACCCTTCCAGGAGAGAATTACACTGTCTTAGAAGACAGCCAGCGGACCTGGACCATCTTTCTAGTCCTCAGGTCTAGTTCCTTGATATCAGTTTCTTTGTTTGTAGGGAAATGGTAATCTGATTCATTTAAGAGCCTTTGGTTGGACTAAGTCTTTTGAAGACGCACAGAGGAACAAAGGGTTGAAAATCAACTAAAAGAATAAAGGACTGAGAGATGAGGCTTCCCCAGGACCACAGCGCTCTCCTGTCCAAGTACAGCATCAGCAAAGCTAACCTCCTTATAGCTCATGTGTACACATGACAACCATCAAAATTCCAGAGCAGTCAAGTGAGTGGTCAGCAATAGAACACTATCTTTTCAATCGTGAAATTCCTTTTAAATCAATAAACATGAAAAATGTACCCTTTGTTGTCTGCTCCTGGGAGCCTTGATTAAGTGCTCACAAATCCTCAGATTTCTCTCTCTCTCTCTCTCTCTCTCTCTCTCTCTCTCTCTCTC